GAAAGAATTATTTGCAGTTCATCAGCCAAAGGGCTAATTTACCGAATCCATAGAGAGCTCCTGCAGATTAATAAGCAAAAAGCAAATCCTGTAACAAAAAGGGCAAAAGATATGAAGACATAATTTATAGGAAAAAAATGCATATGACTCAAATATGTGAAAGATACCGAATCTAACTCATCATCAGGGAAATGCAAATCAAAACTACACTGAGGTACCATTTTCACTCATCAATTGGCACAAGTCAAGAAATCTGAACAGTTTATGGGCAAGGATGACTTTTTAAGCATAATCACAGATCATTGAGGGAGCATGAACTGGTGTCACTTGGCAAGGAGGCGATTTGGCAAGAACTATCACAGTTAAAAAAGTATACACTCTTTACCCAGAATTCCCCACCCAGCCAGGTCACTGCCACACTGTCCTGGCACTGAAGTGAAACCATCTGGGATGTCATCAGGCCCATCAACACAGGGCTGACCCAGGGATTAGATCAGGGGACTGGAGCAGGGGCTGGACAGGAAGCTCTCAATGTACTGAGGGGAAGGCACTCCAAGAGTTTTGTTAAGATGCAGAAATGGAGGATATAGTAGGCTTGTGTTTAAAGAAAAAGGAAAAAGGAAATGTATATTTGTACGTACTTAAAATATCTCTGGAAAGATAGTAGGGAGGTTTAGATTGTGTACTTTTTTGTACCATGTCAATGTATCGGATGGTTAAAAATTGGTTTAAAATTTAAAAAAGGGTAAAGATTCCTTAGACTCTTCGAATCGAATGATAGAATCTTGGAAACAGAATAGTAGATTGTCTAGTCCCTACCCGAGTACTCTGACCCCAAGGAGCTCCCTCCCTTTTGGGGCAGTGGGTCCAGCTATGTGTCAGCTCTGCTTGGAAGGACCTTCCTCGTGCTGATATCTTGTGGGAGGGGGCAGAGGGGAGAGCAAGGCAAGGCTGGCACCCGGAGCTGGCACAGGTGCAGATAAAGGGATCTGCCCCTCCTACCCCCACAACCCCGTCTCACCTCCCCCTTTCCCCCAGCCAGGAGAAGGCTCCCTGCAGTACTCTGCCACTTTGGCTGGCTTAGTGCCTCCGGAGGCCTCTTCACCAGGATTAGGCAGGTGTCACCTGGCCTGCTGAGAACCAGGCATGACCCAGAGGAGGTGACCACAGTGTGCACCAGCCCCACCTGGGGTACCAGCTGGTGCAGTTCTTTCAAGTGTCAGCTTTGCAGCTGGGAGAAGAAAGTGCCTCACAGAGGGGACTTCAGAAGCCCAGAAGAGATCTCCGGATAGAGTGACAAGCAGGAGGAAGGTGGGACACCTGGGCTGTGGGCTGCTCTTCATCCCTCCAAGACCGGGTCTGACTCCCCAGCTCCTGATCTCAAAGGCCCCCACTGGATGCCCACAGGCACCTCCCACTCCACACAGCCAACTCGAGCTCACTGTGTCTTTCTTGTGATTCCTGCTCCATGTCCCCCTTCTAGCTGGATGTGAGCCCCTCCCCTCAGAGTCCTCTGGACCCATCTCATGGGCTCATGGTTATTTCTGGACATTTCTGCCCCTTCTTTAATGGCGTGCCCACTCTGCGCCAAGCCCTGGAAAGGAAGAGATGGCCCAGCCCTCCCTCCAAGGCCTAAGTGCTCCTGGGAGGGAGAGGCTCTCTCTTGGTCAGCTCTGTGCCACTCCTGCACAGAGCTGGGGCCTCAAGAAGAGCAGGCATCAGGCACATACATTCGGCACCAATGAATAGCGAAAGGGCTATGGCTTGGAACGTAAGAAGCCTCCCTGCTTTGGGCCTAGCCCTAAGCGGGGCACTGGGAACAATTCTGGCCTGCAAGGAGCTTCCAGACTGGGGAGGGTTGGGGTCAGGAGCTAGATGGAAATGGACAACAAGAATGCTCGGGACTGTGGTAGGGGAGCCTGCAGGAGCTGGGGGAGTCCAAGCAGCCTGTGCAGGTGGGGGAGAACTAAGGAAGGATCCAAAACAGAAAGGGAAGCAAGAGAGAATAGGTAAAATAGAGAGAGGCAGACATGCTAACGCACACTGAGAAGTCTCATGTGGCAGAAGCTGGGGGGGACAGTACCATGATAGCAGTTGGGAGACATCAATAGGGGCCTAGACATGCAAGATCTGAGTGCTAGGTGGGGGAGTTTGGATCATCCTGGGAGCAATGGGAGTGGTGGAAAGAGCTTTAAGCTGAGAATCACATCACTGGATCAGAGTTTTAGAATGAGCTCACTGAAGAATGAAGAGAGGGTGAGACCAGAGGCAGAGCCCCAACAGAGGGCTGGAGCTGTGACCCATGCTGCTTAATTGCCAGGTTACAGGGTTAGGATCCTGGATCTTCTCCTTATTAAGTGGGAGATCTTGGGTGAGTTACTTAACCTCTTCATATTTCAGTTTTCCCAAGTGCAAAATGGGATAACAGTACCTACATCATAGGGCTACTGTGAGGGTTAAATGAGTTAATACAGGCCCGGCTGTGAGGATACTGCGGGGCATAGTGAGCACTCAGTGTTAGCTACCAGAACAATTATAATCACGATCCAGATGGATGATGTGTCTAGGCTCTTCCTCTGCTACTGTGGCCTCCAGCCTCCTCTCCCCTCTCTCAACCCTCATGGAGGCAGCCCTTACCTTGTGCAGCCAGTGCAGGTTCATCTGCTGCCCCACGGCAATGTGACATAGTGCCAGGACCTGAAGAGGGGGCGGGGCCCACAGGGCAACAGTTAGGCACCATGTGTGACTCAAAGGTTTCTGCCAATTCCCTAGACACCCTTCTCCCCATTGCTGTCTGGGCCTGGCTCAGGGCAGTCAGCAAACCCTCTCAGTAGGCGATGGGAATGCTCAGCCCAGCCCAAGCCTGGCCTCCTCCCAGATTATTCCACACCTCTAGGCTCTTCCTCCTCTGGGATGTCTCCCTCAAGAAGTCACTGGGCCCTGCTGCACTTAAAATGCCCAATTAATGTTTTGGGAGTTCCAGGACCCAGGATGCTAAAGCAGATTTGAGCCTGGTGCCTAAGGAGGCCCCCCCAGTCCAGTATGGGGATTGACTTGAGTCTGAGAGAGTAAAGTTCTGAGAGCAGGAACCAAAGAGAAAGTTCCCAAAAGATGAAGTCTCCCGTGGGTCCTAACAGTGGGATTGCTCAAACTGGGTCAGGGGAAAACAGTCCTGGGGCAAAAGCAAGGTGAACTCCTACCTCAAAGGAACCAAGCCCCAGAGGCGCAGCAGCCTAAGAAGCCCAGGGAAAAGGCAGCTTCCCTGTTTAGATCAGGGTGGACCCCTCCATCAGCTGGCACAGGCTGTCTCCCTTCCCCTGAGAGCAGAGCCGCCTGCCCTCTGAGACAGCCCCCACATACCAGGAGGCCTGCGATGTAAGTGAAGGCAGCGGCCGTGGTCATGAGGATGGGCACAAACCAATCACTCCAGTAGCCCATTCGGTTGTAGAGGTACCTGCAGGAGAAGAGGCCAGGGTCAGACCTCCACCAGAAAGAGAACATTCCCTCGGGCCAGCCTGGCTCAGGGACCAGGCTCTGCCTGCTCTTGTAGTAGTAATGTCATTGTCCTCCTGATCATCAGTCAGGCCTATAGAAGGCTCATGGTAGGCACCTGGGTATGCCAAGAGCACAAAGAATACAACAATTTCCTATAATTCTACTGTTCAGAAGTAACACATGTCGTTGTGCTCCTGATCATCAGTCAGGCCTTTAGAAGGCTCATGGTAGGTACCTGGGTATGCCAAGAGCACAAAGAATACAATTTCCTATAATTCTACTGTTCAGAAGTAACACTTGGCTGACTTTTCTTCCATTGGGTTTCACCTCTATGCTTATATATTTGTGTAAACAGCAGAGCTGGGACCTGCTGCATACAGCATAGTGGTCAGAGTTTAGGCCTTGGAGGGAGGTGCACACAGATTCAAATCCCCACTCTGCCTCTTACTGGCTTGTAGGGGAGACCTGTGGAGGCGATAGGCTTCGCCAATTCTAAGATGCCATCCATCAATGACATTCATCTCAATTTCAATGTTAAAATGTGAAAATGAAACTAAAGGGTTTTAGAATTGATAAAATGCCCTTCATAGGGTTTCCTGAGGAAGGGGGCGGGGCTCATGGTAAGTACTCAATCAATTCTCTTTTTATTATCATATAGACATTTACTGATGTCGATAAAAAATCCTAACTAAATGTGATTTTTCAAAAGCCACATGGTCCTCTGGGATTAATGTACCATATGTAGCCAATCTCCTACTAATGGCAATTAATTGTTTCCAATTTTTCACTATTATAAATTAACATACAAAAAAGAAAATTTTGCACATATTTTTCTGTATTAGTAATTATTTCCTTAGGATAGACTCCTACAAATATAGGTCAAAGGGAATGAAATTTTTAAGACTCCTGATAAATACTGCTTGGTTGCTCTCCAGAAAGGTCGAACCACCCACATCCTCCCTGTACAACTGGGGAAACTGAGGCTCAGAGAAGGTAGCAACTTGCTCAGGGCCATCAGAATATCTGAGCTGGTGCCAGGCAGTTTCAGGCCTGCTGCCATTTTGAGTCTTGGCAGGGGGCTGGGAGGAGATACCAGCAGGGCACTGTGGAGCATATGCCTTCCCCTGTGCCCTTCGCTGGCCTTCACCCTCAGGTTCCACGGGAAAATCTGCTGCCTGGAAGATCACTGACTGTTCTCTTCTTCTGTACAGTTAGGGAAACTGAAGCCCAGTGAGGGTGGGACCTGCTCCTGGTAACAACTCCTCAAAGGCGTTCTGGCTCACTTTTGGCAGGGGGTCCTGTACAGCGACAGCCCAGACAGCTCCTCCCTGGCTCTCGGTGTCCTGCCTTGTCCATCTGGGTCACTTGCATCCTCTCACTGCGTGAACCATCCCCAGAGACTCGAGAGCATGAAGCCTGGGCCAGCCTCTCCTGAATCCCAGCACCGACTGTAAGAAACTACAGTAACAGGCTGAGGAAGCTGTAGGTGTTCAGGCCATCTCTAAGTCCCAGGCAGGCCTTCCCTCTGCACTCTTCCCAACAGAGCAGGCACCCATCCCTTGAGCCACCTGGGAACAGGGAGCTCACTCTCTGGGAAGAGTGGGCTAGCTCCGTGGACAGCATGAGGCAGTCATGATACAGTCAGGCGCAAGGCCCTGACCTAGAACTGTTTGCATGTCACTGTGTGACTTTGGAAAGGCCCCTTAACCTCTCCGAGCCTCTGTCTCCTCACGCTGTCCTCAATATGTCTTTTTGGTACTAACTGGTTGTGCAGCCACATGTGAGTCCTGGTCCTCTCTGAACCTTAGTTTCCCCATCTGTACATGAGGAGGACAGACCCAACAATCTCCCAGGCAGCAAACCTCCAGTCCTGGCAGAACTGTCTGAGGTCTGTAGTCGAGAGCCAGCAAGGAATGTTCCTATATACCCACAACAGTGTCTGTGCTGTGGATACCTGCAAGGATGAATAATTGATTTATGGTATTTAATAAAGGCCAGAGGCCACCTCTGGGACTCAGCTGGGGCTCAGGCTCATCTTGCCAGGCTGCAGTGGGACAGACGTATGCCTTTTAATGTGCTCATTAATAACAGAGGCATAGTCTAGGGCCATACTGAGGGGAGTGGATGCCCAACTCCATGAGCAGAATCTTAGGATCATCACAGAACCCTAGAACCATGGCCCATCAGAAGCCTGGAGTCCTAGAAATCCCCAGTTCTAACATCACAGCTGCCTTCCAGCTGGAGATCAGCCTCCCAGGAAGCAGCCCTGAGGTTTAGGTAGAGCTTTGAGGCTTCTCAAGTCTATCATCTCATTTCGTCCTCAGAAAAAGAACTGATGAAGTTGGAATTGTGCCATTTTCCAAAAAAGGACAGTGAGGCTCAGAGAGGACCAGGGACTTGCTCAGAGTCATACTAAGCTGAACTTCTGACCAAGAAGAAGACATAGCACTGAATGGGGGAGTAAGGAGATCTGGCTTCCGAGCCCCAACTCTGATCCCGACTGGTTGTGTGACCTTGGGCCTTAGTTTCTACATTTGTCTATGGAGGTGTTCCCACTAGAACCCAGGGTCCTTCCCCTCCTCCTGTGACTTTCCACTGTTTGACAAAGGCAGGCAGTGGGGGTAGGGGTGGGATAGAAACGGGTGCCCTCCTGGACCCAGGTACTGTGCCCAGACAGCCCTGCCCTTGGGTTGGGTTGGTGTTCACCCAGAACCTGAGTTGTGCCAGAACCACAGCATCTGTTAGCCCTGCCCAAGGCACTGCTCAGGTCTGGGCTACCTTCTCTGTTAAGGCCTTGGTCTCTCTGGGCCTTGGAGTTCTGTCTCAACCTTCCATTCTGATTTTCCAAGATAGCAGCCCCAGGAAGGAGCTCCCTGCTCTTCCTAGCTGGTCTTAGCTCCTGCCAGGCTTTGTTCTTTCCAGAGGACCCTGCCCTCAAGGCCACAGAGAGCAGGTAGCAGAGCTCTGAGGGCCAGCTCGAGAGGCTCAAACCAAAGCCCCCAGGTCCAGTTGCTGGATCCCGGAACCCAGGGCCCGTCCCCATGCCGACCCCTCCCTCACTCACCAGTTGAATTCATCGTAGTCATTGTGGACTTCCCACCAGAAGTAGAGCCAGGTAAGCGTGAGGCCGAAGGTGATGGTGAGGAGCAGGAACCAGAGGCGTTCCCACTGGAAGAGCAGAGCAGGAAAGGGGTCGAGTGAGGTCGGGGGCTGGCCCCCTAGGCTGCTTCCCACTGAATGTGCCCCCTTCTGCCCCTTTGTAGCCAGAGATTATGGCTGTCTTCTGGTAGGGACCTGAGGCTCAGAGAGGGGAAGTGACCTGTCCAACATCACGGAGCCTGAAGTTATAAAATGGCGAAGAGCTAGGAGCCAGGTCAGGGGTCCACCTGACCCTAGGGGCTGGGCCCTTTTTGCTGCAGCCTGAGGTGTTTCCAGTGTGAGCCAGTCTCCCCATTCTGGTGATGGCTCCAGGAACAAAGGCCGCATCTGCCCTGAGTCTTCCCACTGGCATGGTGATCTGTAGACTGTGAGGTCACATCCCTCACCTCCTTCTCTCCTCACACAGGCCTACAAAGCAGGTACTGTTCTTCCCTACCCCTGTCCAGTGCTACTGATAAAAACAAATAAACAAAAACAAAAACAAAAAGACAGAAGCCCAGAGAGGTAAAGTGATTGCCCAAGTCATATAGCAAGTTAGTCTAGCCCCCATCCCTACCCCCCAGATTTGAAGAAGGACACTGGCCTCTCAAGGCTGGGCCAGCCACCCCTGTCTCCTGCAGGGGGCAGGGTAAGGGGGCTTCTGACCCTCCACTGCTGCTTCCTGAAGGGCTGGCCCAGAGGTCTGCAGGCGCTTCCTCTGGGCCCTTGGGTTTATCCTTGCTTTCATCCGTCCCCTTATCTCAGAAGCACAACAAGCTTGGACATCCTGCTCTCCGGGAAAACTGCTGAGATCATCAGAACAGACCAACAGTCCTTGAGGAAAGTCAGTGCAGGAGAGGACCACGAGCATCCTCCTAAAGGGGCAGAGGGCTTGGAGCGGCCAGGCACCTCTCATGTGGGCACTGCCTAGGAAGCCCCTTGCCAGGCTCCCTGCAGCTACCTCCACCCACATAGGATAGCCAGCTCTGAGCGACAGTTCTAACCCCAATTTACCCTCTTGATGGCTCCTCACTGCTTAGCCAAGCAGGGGTCCCTTCTAGGGGTGCCCCACCCACCTCTCCAGCTTTATATCCATTACCAGTTGCCTCACTCTGGAAGGGCCACTGCCCCTGGGTTTTGTCAGCTATTATTCCCATTCACTTTTTAAGTCAGCGCAAATGTCACCTCCTCTGTGAAGCCTATCTGGACTATGCTCCTGCCACCCACACTCTCTCCTCGGTGCTCCCACAGCATCAGTGTTCCTGTCTCTAAAGTCACACTCTGTACACGGTGTGTACAATGTGGCTCATGTGACTGCGTCTCCCAGATGATGACCCTGCATCTCTTTGGGTTCTGCAAGGACAGGGACTGAGCCTGGCACCACTCCCTTAGTTTTTATGGCTGGAAGAAGAGGAGGGAGAATTCACTCACTGCCCAGGATAGCTCCACCCTCCACCACCAAGACACACCACACTGGGGTGGTCATGCTGGTGCCTGGAGCCAGACTCCCTCTCCACCACTTGCTAGCTGTATTACCTTGGGCATCACAAGTTAACGTTAACCTCTCTGTGCCTCAGTTTCCCCTCTTTGAAATGAGGACAATAATAGTACTGATCCATGGGGTTGATGTGAGAATTAGATGAAGGAGTACAGGTCAAGTGCTGAGAACCACGCCAGGTAGTCAGCATTCTATCAATGCAGCTGTAAGTATGTTCCGCCTCTCCCCAGCATGCAGGAAAGACCTGCAAACTCTGACGAATCATGACTATACACACTGAGCACTGCTTTGGACCTAGCCTTAGGAAGGAGGGCTCGAGCTTAGGTGTAATTAAAGCAGCCTCCTCCACTCACTGTTACGTGAGGAACCAGACTGCCTTGCTTAGCCCCACTTTGTACAAAAACAGAGATGTGAAGGTGTTGACACTCTAAAACAGTGTTTCCAGCACGTGGAAGGGATGGCTTCTCAGAGAGTAGGCCACTGGTGTCTGGCCCACCCAGACACAGAATGGCATGAGCCCCAGCTCTAGGCCTAGCGAGACCCAGCCTTGCTCAGGAATGGAGAAACTCTGGCTAAGAGCAGGGCAAGCCATTCTGGAGCAATGGGACCCTGGCAGCCACCAGCCAGAAAATGGCACGTACTGCCTTAAGAAACAGAGAAGGGCCACAGTTCAGTCCTGCTTCCTGCAGCTAGGCCATGGGACTCTGGCTCCGGAGGGGCTGGCCCACACTGCCATGTCTGAGCCAGCACCCCCACCCTGGCTGGTCTAGCATTCCCCCACCCAGGTCTAGTCCTTCTAAGAGTCCCTCTTGCTGCCTCCAATTCTTTTATGCTCACAAATAAAAATTCCTTTGCTACATTTCCTGCAGAGTGCAGCGGCTGGGGCCCAGGCCAGCCTAAACAGCTGAGTCTCCCAAGCCTGAGCAACCTCTGGTCACACCATGCACTAGCCTGAGAGCTGCACTGGCCTGAGCCCCTCAGCCCAGGCCAAGCTCTGTGTCCCCAGCCCCCACCTTTGCCCCACACATGCAATTACATGCCATGTACAAAATCACCCACAGTCTCGCAAACGGGCTCTTTCAAGCCCTGTGCCTTCGCATGAGCCAAACCCTCCCCTCTAGAAAGCAACCTGGCCCTTGGACAAACCTTCCTCCTTCCTGAGGGCTTCCCTATCTCTACAGGGAGACTCCCTTCTCCTCAGAACTCCCATTACCCACGTCTGTTAGGGCACACCCCCAAAGTTCTGTACCTGTCTCTATGTGCGGTCTCCCTGCTACAGATCTTCAAGTACGGTACAGCCTTGAAGATCTGGGTGGTCTCCATGTTCCCAGGGTAGGGTGGGAACTTAGGAAAGATTTTATAATAAAACAGTAGGAAAGGAAACACCCTTTCTACTACCTCTGAATAAGTACGCCCACTGAGGAGAGATTTCTCTAGAGGCTTACCACCCCACCCCCACAGAGGAGCCCTTAGTCTTCTGTGGACACTGAGCTGGCAGTGGTAAGTGGCCATCTGTCCAGAGATGGCTCTACCTCAGCAGG